TTTATTTTATGATTTTTTGATATCTCCTGACATTGAGAGTTGAAGCCACCAAGCCGTCGTGGGTTTCGTGACTGTCCCACCACTCACTCCAGCAGTGGTACTTTGGGTGGTCTCACATGTTTCACTGCGCCGATACTGCTCAAACTTCATAATTTCTCGAAGTAACTAACTTTGCATTTTAGCAAGTATAAAAGTTATCCATTACTTAAATGACCTTATATAGGTGCTATCTGAAAGAGAATAATTTATTCTATTATCCATCAAAATTGGAAAGTTCAGTCACTTTTCTTCCTTGAGAAATCTGCAATTATTCTCAAGGTGTCCCATTTTATACCGTTCACCCTAATATAAGTAGGGTCTTCAGGCGTTGAACAGATGAGTCATGGCTGCATGCATATCGCAGAACGGATCTCTTAGTTGTCTCGCACAAGTATTCTTGCTAGATTTTTCGTGTGCAAAGGTACCAAGAAGATATCTTGGTCCCAGAACAAAGTTAGTACTCTATTTTCACGAGTACACAACGCACTTTTTCGACTTTTCAAGCGAGCCGCTCAGCCGCCTCGTTGTATTTCGCAAAATGAAACAATGAAACATATGCCCCACAATACCGTCGGGCGATACGCAGCACAGTATACAGTCTGCCCCAATCCTAACCAGGCCAAAATTGGCTCGGCGGGAGTTCGCGTCGCGAGGATTTCGCGCCACTTCTGCGTCTAGCTAGTCTGCTCTCTCCTCAATCTCTTCGCTCTCTGCGACAGCGCGCGTATGCAGCGCAAACCCCTAGCGCTGCGTGCGAGGGGTTTGCGCTGCAATTTCAGCCGACGGTTCGCCCTGATCCCGATTGGGTCAGACTGTAAGGTTCTTTGGTCGCGATATTTTTTGGTGTTGGAATCAGGGTCAAGCGTGATGATGCGATCCGGGACCCTCATTTACGACCCCCCCCCCTTGAAGGTACCCATTGTACGACCCCCCCCCCCCCCACCCTCCCCCATTTATCCTCCTTACCCCCCTGCCCACATTCCTCGCGGTAACCTGTATAAACGAATGTCAATCTCAAAAAACACCTGCGTGAGAACTTGAGGTTTCTGAAGCAGAATTTCTAGGCCAATGATGCATACAGCAGCTGTAGCACACATACACACCTTCAATATTGTTTGAGAATCTGCGAGTTTTTTTTTGAATTTTCAGGCATACTTCAGACCAGCAAATTCGATTCCCGTAGGCGACACAAATTATTACACGGAGAAAAAAGTGACATTCTTGAACTACAAAAGATGTTTTCGACTAAGAAGCTTACTCTCTACCTCTTCTACAGTTATTCCCGCGAAAAAAACCACTTGAGCGCCGTCCAGAACGACGTCAAAAACGTGCATGAGCACGGTAGATTGAAAATTCGTAACTAAGGCCAGGAAAAGACTGTGAGGCTGCAAAACACAGGTTCCGTAGTATAGTGCCAAGACTATCCATAGAAAAAGTTTAAGCTTTCAAGGAGCAGTAAGCTCGAAAAAATTTAGATGCGACTCTCGCAAATTTAGATGCAATCTTAAAAAGCAAAAACTGGTATTTTTGAGCTAAAAATTTTGTAACTTACCAGAGAACTTATAAAACAGCCTGCAATTTTTATGAGAGAAAGTAGAAGGATGGCCTCATATTACATCAAAATTGCAGCCAACAAGCTTCGATAGCTCCGGAAAAATTTAGATGAGGCGCAGATACGACCCCCCTTTCCTGATTTTTCGCTACCATACATAAAATTATAAGAAAATCCACAGTTGACAATATAACACCAAATTTTGCACTGATGTAGCGGCGCATCTCCAAAGTACAGATTAATCATATGGTCCCGTGAAAAACATTACAAAAAGATTTAGAAATTTATGATTGTCACAGCTGATAAACACATTCGCTTTTGTCGAGTGTGTGAGACTTCAGGAGGGCTTCAGAAGCAAGATTTCTAAGGCAATCGGTACATTTAGCATTTGTATCAAATCATACATCCTTCAAAAGTGTTTTGAGCTCTTGTAAATGTTTTTTTGAGAATTTCTACAGATTTTTTACCTTTTTCATTCTGATTTACACTTTTTTAAGATTTATTGTGAAGAACATAACTAACTATCTTCTTTTCGATTCCCTTTTAAGCTTAGAGTATTTTAGCTTAACTGCCTTCTCTTACGACCCCCCCCACCTTAGGTACCCTCTTTACGACCTCCCGTTGCGACAGTCGCATCACAAGCTTGACCCTGGTTGGAATGACATTCAGGATGGTCAAATTAAGAAAAAAAAACAGGTGCGCCCCTGTGCTTGTGAAATTAGAGTATTAGAAAAGAAAAGAAAGAAAGTAGAAAGTAGAAAAAGTAGAAAAACACTTCATGCTTTCGCATTTTATTCTTGTTGCGCTTGAGTGTATGCAGAGATGTCGAACACTTTTATTACGATTCAACAGGTCCCAAACTTGCTCATAGTGGTAACTAGCTGGCTTACCCGGCTCCGCCGTATGTTCCGAATAATTCCACTTCTTAACCGATCCGGACCAAACTTGGCACACATACAGTTCGGGCCCCGGCGGGTGCCACAGCCCACTTTTCGTTATCGATCGATGTCGATTTCAGCGACTTTTTGCAAAATTTGAGCTAGGGGGCTGGAATTTGGCAGGGGGGGTGTAATCGAGCATGCTGATCACCCCCACGGGGGTGATCAGCATGCTCGATTACACCCCTCTGCCAAAACGAAAAGTAGCCTATGACACCCGCCGGGGCCCGTAGTGTATGTGTGCCAAGTTTGGTCCGGATCGGTCCAGAAATGGAATTTTCTATTCGGAACATACGTACAGACAGACATACAGACAGACAGACAAACAGACATTCAGCTTTATATATAACTAGCTGGCTTACCCGGCTCCGCCGTATCCGGACCAAACTTGGCACACATACACTTCGGGCCCCGGCGGGTGTCACAGTCCACTTTTCGTTATCGATCGATGTCGATTTTACCGATTTTTAACGATTTTTTTGCAGAGTTCACCTACAGGGCTAGGAGTTTGCACAGGGAGGTAATCGAGCATGGGGATTCCGAATACAATATTAGTTTTCAGGATCGTCCATTACTTTTATCGATCTTATCGATTTTTTTGTAAAGTTTGACCTGCGGGGCTGGGAGTTTGCACAGGGGGTAATCGAGCATGCAGATTACGAATACAATATTAGTTTTCAGGATCGTCCATTACTTTTATCGATCTTATCGATTTTTTTGTAAAGTTTGACCTGCGGGGCTGGGAGTTTGCACAGGGGGTAATCGAGCATGCAGATTACGAATACAATATTAGTTTTCAAGATCGTCCATTACTTTTATCGATTTTATCGATTTTTTGAAAATTTGAGCTAGGGGGCTGGAATTTGGCACAGGGGTGTAATCGAGCATGCTGATCACCCCCTTGGGGATGATCAGCATGCTCGATTACCCCCCTGTGCGAACTCCCAGCCCCGTAGCTCAAACTTTGCAAAAAAATCGATAAAATCGATAAAAGTAATCGATAATCCTGAAAACCAATATTGTATTCGGAATCCCCATGCTCGATTACCCCCCTGTGCCAACTCCCAGCCCCGTAGCTCAAACTTTGCAAAAAAATCGATAAAATCGATAAAAGTAATCGATAATCCCGAAAACCAATATTGTATTCGGAATCCCCATGCTCGATTACCCCCCTGTGCGAACTCCCAGCCCCGTAGCTCAAACTTTGCAAAAAAATCGATAAAATCGATAAAAGTAATCGATAATCCTGAAAACCAATATTGTATTCGGAATCCCCATGCTCGATTACCCCCCTGTGCCAACTCCCAGCCCCGTAGCTCAAACTTTGCAAAAAAATCGATAAAATCGATAAAAGTAATCGATAATCCTGAAAACCAATATTGTATTCGGAATCCCCATGCTCGATTACCCCCCTGTGCCAACTCCCAGCCCCGTAGGTGAACTCAGCAAAAAAATCGATAAAAATCGATAAAATCGATATCGATCGATGACGAAAAGTAGCCTATGACACCCGCCGGGGCCCGTAGTGTATGTGTGCCAAGTTTGGTCCGGATCGGTTCAGAAATGGAATTTTCTATTCGGAACATACGTACAGACATACATACAGACATACATACATACATACAAACAGACATTCAGCTTTATATATAAGATATTGTAGCAAATGCCAGCAATAAAAGTGATCTCGCAGTATCATGGCTGTCACAGCATTTTCAATGGTAAAAAGAGGAAAAGCCATGAACGCTCTTGACTCATCAGTGACGTCATGTCGGAAGCTTACGATGAATTAGACAAATAGACGTGTACTGTTCGATAATGTCCTCTTGCCCAATAGAATATTGACACGTAAAGGGCATAATCGTCGTACCGCCTTTAATCAAGTCTGCTCTCGTGTTCTTCCATTGATTTTGATGTCACTGTTATAAAATTCACATATAAGATACTTAGCCTTTGATGATCTCATTTTCCATTTATTTACTATGCATCAGAGTTTATGCTTCTCATCCAAAATTTTCTAAACATGATCGCATTATCTCATGCGTCATCAAGATCTCCCCTGCTGCATGTCCTACTTATTAGCGGGAAAAAACCCTACTTTTCAAACTCGTTCCCCGGCTATCTCGATCATCACGCCCTCACACGCGATTTGAGATGCTCTAATGCAAATCACGCTCGCGACGCTCCGCTGCTAAATTGGAGAAATTTTATTGTCAAATTTTTGTTTTCTCTCGTTTTTCTTATTTGTTTCTCTGTACTTTTTTGATTTCTGTGTTCTCTCGCTATGATAGATTAAACCCATTTTTGACGCATTTTGAACCTCTGTGGAGTTGTGGTGTTTTTTTTTCGCCTTATGTCTGGCTTAAATTATTCTATTATTGAACTGAGTGATCTCTAGGCTGTTTGATTGCCCGTTCTCTCTGTGCCGAATATTTGCAATGCAAATTAACATGCATGCAGCCTTGAAAACTAATGTTTCAGATCTTCCTTTTTTCGTAAATTTTTTTCGCCAGGAACTTTTGTATTACGGGTAACAGAAGCTAATGCATCATGTCGTCGTCGACGTCCATGATAGGTTTGTGCTTTTTTTCAGTTATATTTCAAGACGTTATATACATATTCATTTCACAGGTGGTGCCATTTTGATAGTGTTAGTTATCGGCTATATTGTTCGGCAGTATGGACTTCCACCGCCTGCACCTAAAATAGCTGGTGTAGATTTAGGAACAACATTTTCTTCTATAGGTTTGTCAAGAAACCATATTCGTAAAGATTTCTTTTAGATTGTAACTATAGGTTATTATCATGCGGTCACTGGTATAACAACAATAATAGCGGACGAACTCGGCAAGAAGTCTGTTCCCAGCGTTGTGGCTTTTCTGTAGGTCATTTGTTATGTTTGCAGTTTTTCTGCGTCTTCTTCGGAGCGCACTTGTAATATTGGAAATGTTTCCAACCATCTTTGCGACTATTGTTGGCAACTTTCAATGATATCGTGCTATAGTCTGTCTTTCATCTTTCGTAACTGGTGGCGAAGCATCTAATTGTTTGATGAGGTATGCTTTCCCGCAGATACGAACACGTATAAGACAGACTGCAGCAGGAAATGATCTTAGAGCGCGCTCAATCGATTTTCTTCAGTGAGGTGAGTGAATTCATGTGATATCGCGCAAGGTATGTGTTACAGGCCAAATGGAACGGTATTAGTTGGCACTCGAGCCGTGGAGCAGCAGGAGAAAAATCCCTTACGAACTATCTATGATGCTAAACGATTCATTGGACGAACATTTGAGAAGAACAACGAGCAGTTCATGGTAAGTTTTCCTTTCAGTCATTCTTCTTCTGTTAGCTGTTTATTTATTTGCTACATTTCGTTCATAATTTCATCTTGGTTTTCTTTTTCTGGAACGATATCAATGTGGCTTGTTATTAGTCTTAATTGCTAGTAAGGAAATAGTGATTACTTTGTGGCGCATACCATGTTCATTTTTGAGAACAAAAAAAAAAGAAAACATGTCCATGCCTTATCTGCGCTACTCCTACGGGGAGCTAAGAGCTTCCTTGAAGCTCGACTAAAATCGCTCGTTATAGTCTTTCTGACATCAGGCGAGGCAAGTGATATGCATAAGTGAATTAGAAGAATTTGACTGAGGATTGTCTCGAGCTTTATCACTGTCTTGAGCGCGCAGAAACCATTTCGTATGGTTTCGTTCTGAGCGAGCTTTCAAGTTTTTCCCTTTAAAAACTCCTATCTTCCCGCAAACTCCTCCTATCCTTCTATTCCCTCTCAGCGGCTTGTAGATACCCTCGATATCATCCCATATGTCTTCCCTCAACATGACGTGGATTACGTGGCTTGATGAGGCGCCGCCTCGCCTCGGGCTCGCGCCACGTTGCGAGCGCATCATTTGGCGCAACGTGGCGCTCAGCACAACGTGGCGCAGGCATTTCCACGTTCTTCTTGTTGCCACATCACGCCGAAGATGCGCACGCAAACGTGGCGCAAGCCCGAGGCGAGGCGGCGCCTCACAAGCCACGTAATCCACGTCATGTTGAGGGAAGACATATGGGATGATATCGAGGGTAAGTAGGACCTCGACAGGAGGGACCGTAGATTCGCCCGCAGGAACGATTACTTTTGGATTGGAGCACGAATCCTCCGTAGAGCACCTTATCCTTCCAACGCTGATTTTGAAGATGCGCTTACCAAATAACTCAATGTTGCGTCTTGCAACTCTACTACTGCAACTCTAATCTCCGTATCAAGCTTGCCGACACTTTCTTCCGGCGTCCAGGCAAATCTGGACAAACGGGTATCGCCAGCGGAAACTGATTTTGGGAAACCGCGCAGAGTTACAGCATAAGATGAGTTACTCAAGCTCTAGGTCTCCATTACTATCAGCATCAGGTACAAAATTCCTTACTAATGCGGTTTGAATTTGCACATAAAAGTTTGATTTTCTTTTTTCTTTTTTCTTTAGTAGATATCACTTTTTCGATCTGGACAACCGTCTCCTTTCAACTTCATTGAATGCCTTGACTATTGGGGAGTCTACCTATAAGCGAAATTCTTGCAAAAAAGGTGGCACTAAGAAACTACGATTGTACCAGCTTCTTAACATCGTAGTTTGTCTCTGATTGTGAATGTTGCGCTCTGATCAGCGGTTGATCGTCGTCTTCTTGCTGTGACTTCTCGAGAGCTGGCAAGATTTGTTCTTTTGTGCTTTTGTCAAAGTCTTTCAGCTCCGTAAAATTTGTACAGCCCTCTTCAAGAAGACATGAAGGCAAGAGAGTTATTAACGATCATACAGTGTGCACAGTATTTGGGATGCGCTGCAGATTTTTATCACCATACATCATGCTGCTTGGACCTGAAAGGCTAATTCAAGTATCAGATGCACAGAGCTTTCTCCTTTTCACTGAAAAATTTTTACTTTTTGCATCATCCAGGCGAATTTGCCTTATACAAATATACATACAAATATACTTGAGAAAAAGTCAGACTTATGGTAATCTCGGCGAGTTTCTACTACGGTACGGTCACAGAAATGTAAGCGGGGAAAAGACCACTGAACTTCATTTTTCAAAGCTCGCCAAGAATATAATTTTGCAAAAGAATTTGAAATGCAGATGTTTAGGTCTTACGACTTAGTTTGTCGAAAATGTACGCACCATTAACCAAACCGTTTGCAATAAGAATTGCAAATGTCACCTTCAACAAACTTGAACCATAACTTCAGTTTTCATGTCAGCCCTTGCAGTGTTTCAGATTTACAAGAACATGATAAAACGTCAATAGACTCATTCATACCTAATTTTTGGTACTTGGCACAAAATTGTTTCCTGAATCAGTGCTCTTCTCAAATCTGAAAATCTGCATTGTAAATTATTGCGTGACTTGAAATATGAGGATTGGGGCCCATAATGCAAGTTTGTTGTATCAAATGTGCCTTACACCAGAAGGAGAAAAGTTGATTCTACAACAGGTCTGAATGATTCAAGTAAATCTGAAATACTACAAAGCAAATCATGGCAGAGCTTGACTGTGAAATGTCCTCCTTTTCGGAGCAAGAAAGCACTGCGATGTACTTTTTATTCCTCATGCTTTAGTGTTTAGCATTGAATTGCGATGCCCTCATGAAATCAATCTTTGTTCCACGTTTATCTGGCAGAGAGTTGATAATGCACACAACTCGCACAAATTTGTTGCCAATTTAAATATTCTCGGATAGATTTCTGTTGCCAAGCATGACATTTGAAGAAGTCCGCTAAAATGACAGACGCGGCAAGAGCGTCTGCAGAATAAGTGTCAGCCGTAAAGTGGCAAACATTTCGATGGCTTTGTTTGTGTAGGACATCCGAGCGCAAAAACCTCGATGCAACCCCGTCACCGCCTTGTTATATGAAAACCGAATGAGACGGGACCATCAAGATGCAACTGGGTCAAAATGTTGACCGGGGCTGAGTTTGCTGTAGACTACTTTTGACAGTGACCTCTAGCCAGTTGCGCTTTCCACCTCTAGTAAACTTGACAATAAAGATTACAATAACTCACTTGAGAACTCTAGAACTTCAGACCTACAGGATGAACCTAAACCTCTTGGTCACACCAGAACACAGTGTAAAGAGCTAACATAGACTAAACTGGTACTGGAAAAAGGAGTTCCGTCAAATTCATAACTGCACGTAGCAGAACGAGAGACGATTGAGCGCTCTAAACACAATTCCTGCTCCAATCCAAAAGTAATCGTTCCTGCGGGCGAATCTACGGTCCCTCGTAGGACAGTTGGGGTGTAGGGCGTTAGGCGACAAACCCGATTATTTGGACCCTAGAAAACTCCCCCGTGCAAAACGTCTCTTCCGCCAAAAACAGGGGGGTGGGGGTCGGGGCCGATACATTACTCGACGCCATCAAAAAAATGGCGCATTGTTTCGACTTACCGGCTTTACGTTAATTGCGTTTTGCACGTTTTGTCGCCTAACGCTTGCCCTCCGGACAGTTGTAATCAACGTTCCAATCCTCCACAATAACTTATAGGGCATTCAAAAAATCGTGACGATGGCGCGTCCGCGCGCGACACGCACGCACCTTCCGGCCACCGCATTTTCTTGATTTTGACCTCTACTTGACAGGTTTTTCTGCTTAGATAGGTAGTAGTGTAGTACATAGACACTGGAAGTGACTGAGCTGGGCGCTGAAGGGATGCCTTTTTGTATGAGGGTGTTACCTGTTAGCGCAAAGACCGCAGTCAAATCCATCGTCACGATTCTATAAATGAACCTTATATCTTTTTGTTTTCACCTGATCTCATTTCAATGTCTGAATACTATCATTTTACTCTATTTATATTTCTTTGGAAGTCTACTTTGATTGAGCACTTTTGTCGGATACTCTCTATTTAAAGCTTTTCGTCCCTCTGAGATTTGGAACTTTTCCTAGGATTACCATGTTTTCCAAACGACGAAGTGTCCCTGTTTCCGATAACGCTAACTTCCAAAACATATTTCCAAGAACTCGTATTCACAGAGTTTGAAAGATCGCCCGAATCAAACATGTATAGACAAACAACTTTACTTGCACGGTGTGGCTTGTCATGTGTTGCGTATATTTTTATAACTCGGTTTCAATGAGGGTCATTTTACGTCTTGTAGGCTGACCAAAAGCGGTACCCTTTCGTTATCAATCTTGATGACCTTGGTCGCGCCTATTTTGAAGTGCCACTCGATTCAGGTACCAAGTAAGTGTCTACAGCATCCTGCTTTCTTATAAATCATGTGCATCTTTTCAGAAAGCTTTATCCTGAAGAGATTGGGTCTATCATGATTGCTTACCTCCGAAAAGCTGCAGAGAAGCACCTAAAAGCTCCACTCAAACAAGTAGGTTACCAGATAAAACTTCGTAATATGGCTCATTATATTGAAGGTGGTGATCTCAGTACCTGCTGAATTTGGCGAAAGTCAGCGTAATGTGACAGGAAAAGCGGCCTCATTGGCGGGTAGGTGTTTTGTCTCCCCTTTCCAAATTGGAACTTCTCGGCCTAGTATGATGATTCTGATAAAATATCAAGTCCTTTAGCATCATTTTTATCTGGCCTCGTTACAGGTATGGAAGTTCGTCGAGTGATTTCGGAGCCTACTGCTGCAGCGTTAGCTTATGGACTGCATAAAAAGAAAGGCGTAGAAAGTGTTGTAGTTGTTGATCTTGGTGGGTTCAGATATCTTGTGTAAGAATTTGCCTTCTAAAACTGTGTTCAGGAGGTGGCACACTTGACGTATCTGTTCTTTGGCTGCAAGGTGGTGTATTTGTAACACAAGCTATGGCAGGAAATAATCGTTTGGGAGGACAAGATTTCAATGATCGGGTACAAAAGCGCATCATTTCGGTAAGTTCTTGATTATATTCAAATCTTTTTTTGTCTTTCATGCAGTACTTTTCCGTGACTTTTACATTACTACAATCTCAAATTGAGGATGAAATTACTCGTTTTACAGGTGCTACACGAAAAATATGGACCTCAAATAGATGTGAGCGATAAGGAAGATCTCCAGCAGATTCGCCTCGAAATTGAGAAGGCAAAACTGCGTTTGACGACGCATCCCACTGCTGTCATCAGTCTCGATCTGAAAGGCGTAGGGAAGTGGAAATATGAGGTGGGCTTGATTTTGTTTCTAAATTATGTATCTAGAGGAATACGCACCCGTGCATCTGTTTTTTTTTTGAAAATTTTTTGACCATATCATTCAGTTTTGTTCATAGTGTTGCGAGTTTTCTCTGCAGAGCATCGTATTACAGCTACGTCGTGATGAATTTGAAAGATTGAATGAGGATCTCTTCAAGTCAATTGAAAAGCCTATCGAAGCAGCTTTAGCCGATGCTAATCTGCAACCTTCTGAAGTGGATGAAATTGTTCTGGTTGGTGGATCAACTCGGATACCGAAAGTGCGACAGATTGTCGGACATTATTTCAAGTTCGTCTCATGCATTTTTACCTTTCTTGTCACAATCTTCGTATTTATAGTAAACCACCCAATTTTGGTGTGGATCCTGAACTGGCTGTTGCTACTGGCGCTTCTGTGCAGGCTGGAGTAATTGGCGGCGGATGGCCTTTACAAGTATGTTTAGAGCCCTTTCGTAATTTCATTCACCCATTTGGAGGGGTGCGTGTCAAGTGGCGCAATTTTCATTGCCATAATTATCAAATAGCACAATCTATGTTATATAACTTCTTGAATCCTCTTAAATTACTAAGAAGATTATCAAAATTCTTATAAATGGATTGTTCAGTCTTATCATTTGGAAATAGATTCAACAAAAGAATTTGAGGTCAGCTCTCGAAAATATTTGTAACAGCAAATGCATAAATACAGGGTGTCCCAAAAAATGTGAACACTGTTTGATTGTTAATAACTCCCTTGTTTTCACGTCTTTCGCCGAGCTTGAGGCACCATCCATCCTATAGAGCAAGGTTTAACTTAGATTTACAGTATGGAGCGGATTGTCGACCGCTTTTCATTACTGTAGCATTACGGTAGGAACTTCGACAAAGATTTTAGGCCATTGTAGGCCATATTCTGCCTCGGAACAAAACCAAACAACCAAAAACTTCTATACTATGGTAATGGAAGACGCTAATTTATTAATCTAATCTTAATTTATTAATCTAATCTTACTAATCTATTTCTTTCCATTTCGAATATGAAATTTTCATTTTACTGTGATGCTTCTTTCCAAGGTTATCCTATTTGAAGGCAGTGTTTCACCAAAGTTGAGGTCGCGCGGATTTTCACATATTCTATTATAGGGACCTCTAAATAGGCCATTGCAACAATCCCACTCAGTTTGACCCCCTCCACGCTGAGAAAAATTTGCTCAAAGTGGTACGGCGGAGAGCCAGTTGGTACGCGCGGACGTCTCCTTCGGTCTCCCCCCTTACGCGTTTGAACATGTCCCTCCACTTGGCATTCACCTCCCCTTTGTTGCTGCCATGTGGCTGAGGCTGAGTTGGAAGGCACAACTCGTCCACGTTGCTTCCGCGGGGCCTCCAGAAAACGGGGTTTTTGGGAAGTTCGTGCGATTTTAACCCCATACAGTGCTAGACAGGGTCCGACAGGCTTGCAAAATGCAAAAATCTCGACGATTAAATTTTGGTGAGACGCTGCCTTTAAACTGTAATAACTGAACTTCTAGCATTCGTCAGAAATGTGACTACACCGTCAAAAAAGCTAAAAACACTCGTAAAAAGTTGCCTAATGGAATCAGCGCGCACGAAAACCTTAGTACACAATTCTTCAGATTTTTTGAACAAATTTTGTCAAATGGCATATTTCACAATGAATCCACGTGCTAGAAGTTCATACCGTAATCCTACAGTAGCGAACAGCGATCGGTGATTCGCTGCATACTACAAATCTAAGTTGAACCTCGCTCCGCAGAATGGTGCCTCAAGCTCGGCAAAAGACAAGAAAGCAACGGAGTTATTAACAATCAAACAGTGTTCACAATTTTTGGGACACCCTGTATATAATTTGATTGCATGAACTAATGCATCCTTCATTTTAGGTAGCAGCTATGGAATTAGCCACAAAGAGGCGGAAAAGGCACTTTTACACAGAACAGCAAAGGGTAGATGAGAAAGAGCGACAAGAGCTTTAGTGATGAAGCGATGAATGTAGCATTTCGGTTAGTCGTCTTTTCTGCACATAGTGTTTTTCCGTGATTAATATCATTTGCCTTATTGTTATTCATATCTCCAATCCCTGTTTATCATCCACTTTTTCTTCACACTTTTGATGGTCAGGGGTTTGTTTTGGTTATGGGTCTCATAAGAAAAATTTTTTTTGCATCGCCTGAATGGCTTGGCTTCTTCAGGTGATTTTCTATCTGTGATAGTTTTAGTCCATGATTCTATCTTTACTTTGGATCTACAACTCCATCTTGTTTTTTGTCTTCGACTGCTATTTTTATACGATGTTGGTACATATTTGCGTCATAGTCCTTATGTGATTCTTTATCTACTGTGCTTTCGAAAAGCTGAGGTTGCTCGATAGTTTTAATAATAATAAGCAGTTAATATGTTCAGATCGGATAGAATTATAAATGATTGTATGTGGCAATGCAATAACGACAACGAGTAATGAAAATTATACATGCATACACAGAGTTTTTTGTACATCTGGAATAATGTGTCTACAGCAATCACATGTAAGCTACACATAGTAATTACTCTGTACATTATGAATGAGAAGTGTAGTAACTTCAATTTAATTCAGGCTTCGCAAAGTTGTGTCCATTAAGCGTAGCCTTTGGGAGGTAGTTTGGCAATTCCGGTAGCATAAAATATTCGAGCGCACTAAATCTCAGTAAGAGCGTCAAGGTGGTTTCCAAGTTTTAAATTAGTGATAGCGCCAAAAATGCATGAAATTCCATGCAGCTTTGATGCCTTTGAGTCGCTTAGCTGATGTTTACAGCTACCTACTCTTTTGGTGACATAAGGATATAGGTTGTTTTTGAAATCGTGACGGCGGGTTTCACTTCGGTCTTTGCGCACACATGAGCATAAAACATCCATAAAAAAGGCGTCACCTCAACTCTTAGCTCAGTCACTTCCAGTTTCTGAATACTATCATGTGTAAGCAGAAAAACCATCCGAGTAGAGATAGAAACCAAGAAAACGCGGTGATGTGCGTGCGTGTCGCATGTGGTCGCGCCATCGTCACGATTTTTCGAATGCCCTATACTAAAGTGGCTACTGTGCACAAAACATGTGTACAATATTAAAATCGAGGGACGAGACATATAAAATTACTTGCGGAAACATGGAAGAAGTTATGTATGATACACTACAGACATACAAACTTGAGAAATATGTATGTAACTTGCATGGAATTATCAACAAAATAAGCACTTGCTATGAAAGAATAGACTGCAAGCTTAACAAAACATTTGTTTAATTTCTCAAAACACCCATGTGCTTCTATCAATCGGTTGTTGATTGAAAAGTATACGTTTTGTTTTACGTATAGAGCTTGTTACTTTACGATAAAATCCTGATAACGGAGCGTCATTTTTGCTAGTTTGGCTCGATTCCGAGCTGTTATCCTTCCCACGCTTGAAGCAGTTTCGTAGCACTGTGCGGACCATTTTGTTTGTAGTGAGAAATAGCACTGGATTGGCCATTTGATTGATTATGGATGTCGAGTAGCTAAATATCGTCCAGCACCATTGTACCCATGAAGCTGTTGAGGTCATGTATGGAGTCAGCATACTTGTGAGTTTAGTCAACTGTAAAGATGAAAATTGTATTTTATTTTGATAGCCCTTTTGAAATGTGGGTGAAATACGCTGTGTTGTTTTTAATACATGAGAATGGGTTATTTGAAGCCAAGTAATTACTCCTGGCATTTTTCGGAATTTCCGCAGGATTTTAAAGAAGGTCCTGCGGAAGTTCCGGTTTTCAACTAGTTTGGCATGGAAATCCCGCGGGAATTCCGATTTTCAACGTTTTCATTTTTGCAATAGTGAACAAAGCCCTGCGCAACTTCTGCAAATTTGGCTTGTCCTGCAGAAGTTCCGGTGATTTGTCTGAGTATGACGATTAATATGGTACCCCTGTATTGCTGACAACATTTGCGCGCAAATAATGACAATGTTGTTCTATTGCCAATTGGTACAGTCGAATCATTTCATATGATCATGTGTGTCACTGCACACATTGTCCATCTTTGGCGCTCCCATCCTGGATTCTTAGAGAGAACAACTCTTGATTCAAGTGTCGTCGATGTATTCTTTATGTTTTCTTTCCTTTTTGGGTATTAATCATCCCAAAAGGTGTAAGTAATATTAGGTTGTTACATAAGTCTTGTTACACTCAACTTCTAACGGCGATAAGTCATACACCTCATAGTCTTTGCAGGACTCCAAGGTACCATTCGATAGAGCAAAGCAAGCTTCACAAAACGGTCTGCAAAAGATCGCACCAGCTCCGACCCACCATAAGTTTGCACCCAAAATCTGAGTCGTACTGAAATTCAAAAAATCGCGAAAAATTCATATCTTTGTTCAAACAAATCCTACGGATCTCCAACTCGCTCACAAAAATTGCCCACTATATCAAACACTCACATGCACCGTTGCTGTATTTTTTCCTTATCTAGAAATCGAGAAAAAGAATTTTTTTTAGTTTTTACAAAAACGAAGCTATGCTGCTTCTTTTCATGTAGCTGTATACTACAAGCCCTTAGAAGTATAACCGTAAATTTTCAGCTTTTCAGAATCTCTGGTTTTTGAAAAATACCAAATTTAGCTTTTATCACTCGGGTGTTCAATGCTAAATTGAGTAAATTTCGAAAACTACGGCTTCTGGGAAGCTGAAAATTTGCGGTTATACTTCTAAGGGCTTGTAGTATACAGCTACATGAATAGAAACAGCATAGCTTCATCTTTGTAAAAACTAAAAAAATTCTTTTTCTCGATTCCTAGATAAGGAAAAAATACAGCAACGGTACATGTGAATGTTTGATATAGTGGACAATTTTTGTGAGCAAGTTGGAGATCCGTAGGATTTGTTTGAACAAAAATATGAATTTTTCGCGATTTTTTGAATTTCAGTACGACTCAGATTTTGGGTGCAAACTTATGGTGGGTCGGAGCTGGTGCGATTTTTTGCAGACCGTTTTGTGAAGCTTGCTTTGCTCTATCGAATGGTACCTTGGAGTCCTGCAAAGACTATGAGGTGTATGACTTATCGCCGTTAGAAGTTAAGTGTAACAAAACTTATGTAACAACCTAATAGCAATTGGTCAGCCTCCTGCGTTTTTGCGATTGCAAATCCGGGATGAGCACGCCAAAGATGGACGGTGTCTGCAATGCACACACGATCATGTGAGATGATTCGACTGTACACGCAATTTACAAACTGCACAAACGTGACATCTATTCAAAACGTTGTCGTCACCGTTCTATTAAAGGTTTATCTAAAAGTACTTCCGCAGTTTTTCAACTTGGAAATTTCACCGTACCTCTAGCATGACTGATATGGCAAGTGCTTGCCAAAGTAGCGAGCGATCCTTTTCGTTTGAGGTGGCATTACCCGTCAACATCCCTCTTCTTTTGATTATAACAAGGAATATTACTCCGTACATGGCCAGCATTACAATAGGAAGCACTGTCGAAGAGATGTTGAAGAACTGAAAATACTCGAATACAGCGGAAGGACAAAAGGACCTGGAAAAAATTTTAATACCTTAGTTAAGACATTTCCGCCTAGTAATGTTTCTTGCATGCTCAGATTCTTCCTTGAGAATTTTTTCGATGCTCCGGAGAGGACATTCCATGACACAGTGAAGATTATGTACATCCACAGTAGTATGCATAAGATCATTACACGATTTCTGAAAAATTTACTCTCATTTAATGCTTCCAGCTAGTCAAGTTTCAAAAGCTTGTTTGGTGGGTTTGAGTATGACCTGGTAAAGGCGATGAGAAGGCCAGGGACCACGAATACTGCGAAACGGTTGATGGTCATTAGGAGTGCAAAGTATAGAGCAGCCTGTTCGGTCAGCTCCAGCACACGCGAACCCCACACGTACCATTGCAGAAGAGGAGCGTTGTCTCCTATCTGAAACGTAAAAAAATCAAGTTGTTGTAACCTACTCCAACTTTAATAAATGTAATTCTCTTAGCAGTTCATAACTTCGGCATACAAATTCATGGATTTTCTGCGGAATGCTATGGGGGGGGGGGGTTTCCAGCCACAGTTTTGTCGTCGCTTTTGAATATCTTGTATTTTTAATCCATTTGTAGGACAAATCATGCGACAAATTGAATTATCAAATTGCTTTTTCGATGCCCGATCGAGTCTAATGATAGTCGCATTTTTTGTACCGGTATTCGAATACTCATTTGATTCCTCTGGAACTGCATGATTTATATTCATTTGCTCCAACATTTTCGAAAATCGAAAACAATATTTGCTAAGTTATTGAAAATGTTTACAACTTAAGATTTAGAACATAGTTAGTTGCTCGACTTCGAACACCATGCGTTTTGGCATCATGCGAGATATTAGGTTGATGCATAATTCCTGCACCAAAATAGGTACAGACCGCAATAATACGGAATAATCCTATATCACAAATAGGATTCGATATATCATTAGATAGCGCAAACCTAGCTCTACAAACTAGTGCTCAAATATCTGCACTAACTTTGATAAACGCGAAGTTTTGAGCCGAACACTGAAAAAAACCATGCGCCCAAAAACCTTGAGACCAATCAAAACAAAATTGTAACTTTGTTCAAAAAACCCTTACAAAATTTCTTTCTTACTCACGCGTAGACATTCCACGTAAGACATTTATCTATGCGGTTGCTGTATTTTTTCCCAGCTAGACAATGAGAAAACGAAGTTTTTCATGTTTTTGCCAAATTAGTGCTGAGATGTTCTAGCACTAACAGTTGTATAGTACATGGCGTTAGCAGTAAACCTTTACATTTTCAGCCTTCTAGAACAGCTAGTTTACGAGAAATGACGAATCGAGCTCTCTTTATCCGAATTTTTCTTACCTAATTGCTAAAAATTCGATATTTCTCGTAAACCAGCTGCTGTAAAAAGCTGAAAATTCACGTTTACGCTTCTAAGGTCCTATAGTATACAACTGTCAGCGGTAGAACATATCAGCATTGTTTTGGAAAAAACATGAAAAATTCGTTTTCTCAATTTCTAGCTAAGAGAAAAATACAGCAACTGCATAGAAAGTGTTTTATACGAAATGACAATGCATGAGCATTTTAGAAATTTTGAAGGATTTTTCTGAACGGATACAGGATTATTCCGGATTATTGCGGTCCGTACCTATTTTGGGCAGGAATTATGCATCAACCTAATACTTATGAGATCTTGGCATATAAATCTATAAATTCTGCAGGCTTTAAACATAACAAAAAATAAAAAAAATAAAACAAGCTTAGATGTTCATCGAACGTCTATAAACATGTGGCATGATGCCAAATTACACGAATGGTGTGGAAGTTCCGGGAAAAGGTTCAACCGAATTTTATTTCGTATCCCCGGAGCGGCGGTTGGTCATGTTTTTTCTATTTCCATAGCGTTCTGATTATTTTCGTTATCCGCTGCTTGCAATCATTTCTCGTTTCTTTACTCAGTGCCAGCAATAATGTGAAAACACTATTAGTCTAGGCAGGCCATTGACATTTTTTGCGCAAATTACTTTTTGATACGATTTTGCCGCGAATGACCATTACTTGTCACGCCTTCAAGGATATAATTCGTGCCATATTATCGCAACACCTGTTTGGTTGAATTAAAGGTTTTAGTGGGTAAAAGTGAACAATGAGTACTTGTAGAGTTGCGATTGCTCAAGTCCTGTTTACACAAATTGAAGCTTGTGAAAATTTTTGTAAGCCTGACCAATCAAAAAAAGTGCCAACACTTTGTCAATAGCAGAGACGATATAGTATTAACATGGTACTATAGACACGTCTTATGCTGAATGGGAGCTGAGTTCCTATTTACCCTTTAGAGCTGCCCTAATATGATGTATTAAGTAATGCGAATAAATGTTTTTTCTAAGTTTTTAGTTGATGGTGTACTTTCTATTATTTTTAAGATGAGTCATTATATGAAAAACATCTGCCAGATTAAAAATGAAAACAACGTACCTCGAGAAGCATAATTGGCATGATGGTGGAGATGACCATTAGCATATGGATCATGTTTGCGACAGTCAAATGCCATACTATTACGAAGAAGGGAAACTGAAAAACAACGAATGGTGGTTTGAAGAAAACTGATCAACATTGAAAATTTTGGAAGTTTTGGAGATACTGACTAGATAGTTTATGAACGTTAAGCATGAGTTCGGTGTCCTTTCTCTGACTCAATATGGAAATCTTTTCCAAATAGCTGGTAAATAACTTCAAAAACTACGCAGATTTCAAGATCGTGGTCATATTGGTAGTTGGAAGTCAGTTGGACAATATAAAAAAATACTCAACAACAAAAATGTTACCTATCAGATTTTGAAAAAAAAACACCAACTTTCTGAAAACAAGCTAATTCTGACCCACCTCTGAAAAACTTCTCCGTCCTCTGATTAAGACCCCTATGAAAACAGCTGTTGTAATTGTGCCAACAGCTACCAAAATCCCAAAGACGATGCCAGCCGCTGCTACTGGTACAACCTCAATAGCTTCCAAATCGGCAGCGCCTATTGAGTCGTTCAAAATCAGGCCCATGTTGCCCTAAAAAAGTAGAAGCTTGAAGCTTAAAGGATAGTGTGAAATTCTATTAGAATTTAAATTTCTTTTTTTGGCTGTGTCAAAGCTTGCTTCGAGAGTAACAAGTAGATGCCTTTTTAGGTAAAAAAAAACATTTTTCGCTTGATTTCTTGCCGGGGAAACAGGGGATTCAATTTGCCTGGGGACATCGGTCATCAAGATATGTTATGATTTATTATCTGAAGACTCAAGAGGCTATAAATCAAGCAAGTTTATACATACCTCATTTGGAAGAAGAGGGGTCGTGCTAATGTTACCGAAGTCGAAATCCAAAAATTCCTCCATTCTGCTATGCAATAACCTTATCCTCGATGGTAAATTTCTCTGAAATAGTATGTTTTTACACTCTATATTTACTTTGATGACATCATCGCGAGCATTTACTATTCCGATGTAAGGTACTCTCATTTACGTGTTTATAACTCATAATTCAAGGATTTCGGAGTGCCTGGAGACCTTTGCTTGGCAACAGAACATAGAAACAGGAAGCAACCTCATCTAGCCCATCTTCCATTTTGGTCTCATTCCAGCTTACATTCTATCAAATATTTCCAACTCTCTCTCTTTTTTTTTGCTGAATCGCCTTAGAAAAAACAAAGATTGTTTTGAAGATTTTCTCTTATATATCAACCTGTAGCTTTGTTAATGCCCCTTTCTGCTAAAGTCACAGTTTTTGTATTAATGCTAAATAATCACTCCGTTTTGGCTGCAAAGTTCCATAAAAAATTTTCTGTTGCTTTTCATTTATGATTCTTCAAGGAGAAGTAGTTTGAAACTTCTGCTATCATATACCACTACTCAGAATTTCTACTATTAGTAAAAAATTATCGTGTCACAATATGACTGGTTTTCCAGATGCTCAAGTTTCGATTTTACTTCGTTTCCATGCTGACACGGATGTAGAAGCTTTAGATGAGTTCTGGTACTTAGATATACATAAGTTTTCTCACTCATGTATAGGGCCCACATGATCGCGAGAGTCGGACGTGCGTACAGCCATTGCGCCGCGCACGTCCGATGTCCGTCGCAGGTAGGTGCCAGACTTATCCTGTTCAACAGGTTCATCAAATTCGCCCTCTGCTATTGGTCAGTGCATTGATTTGACCAATAACGAATGAGTGAATTGGACAACCGGTTGAACAGGATAAGTCTGGCAACTGCCTCAGTGACATCGGACTTGCGCGGCGCAACGGCCGTACGCACGTCCGACTCTCGCAATCAAGCAGGCTCCTATAGCAATAAATATGGGATTTTCCATTTTTCTCGCTCAATTGAGCGCAAGTGTAGAGAAATTTCGTTTTTTCGAAAAGACGAAATTTTCTCACATTTGCGCAAAAAAACTGGCCTTTCCTCGTAAGAGAGTAAGTGCTAAGCAAATGTAATCGGAGTCCAGCAGGTACATACGAGGGTAAATGGACATCGGTAAAACATTTTCTCCTTTGCCACCATCGATTGTAACGGTTTCCCATTTAATCCCGCCAACTGCATAGGTTCTTTGAAGCGCGTTTTCTTCCTCAAAAGCAATAACATCGTTATTATTTCGGATCCTTACAAAGAGGAGAGGAGGGGTTTTGTAACCAAAATGTTACTATATGCTAAATTTTAGGTATAGAACAGAATTACATACAAACTTCGCAAAACTTATGTGAACCGATAACGCGAAGGCCTTAGCGGATGCGGCATTGTGCACGTGAGACGCCCATGCGAGGCGGCTCGCAAGGACCTGAGCCACGTCAACCGTGACACTCAGATTGAAAGCCCCTGTACCTTAGGTGGGCATTAGGTGGGCAAGCCCCAACTAATTTTGAAAATTGTTGAGCGCGCTCTCTATTCACATAGGTTTTTGATAATTTTTCCTACTTTGTTCCTTAGTCTAACTGCACGTACACTACAAATTTCGCGCCATATCGTCGTTTGTGATTTCATCATTTTGTGGTAGTGGGGAATTTTCGGAAAAAAGCTTGCCACAACTTTCAGTCACACAATTTCTCTACAATGCTCAGCGCTATTCTCCTTCTACATAGTCCATGTCCGTTTACACTCCATTCTTAGTCATATAGTTATATATGCGCTGTGACCAGACATTTTATCACAATTCAATGGAAAAAATGTGGATTTTTGAAGATGACTCGCGAGCAAGAGCGTGTTTTTGCATGTCAGTCGTGTAGCAACTTGTCGAAAAAGTATATGCACGATCTTCCCTTTGCTTTCCATCCAAAACGATTTCCTGCCGAAGGCCTCGGGCAGAGTTTACGCGATTTGATCGTCGCGATTGATCGCGACGAGACAACTGTAACAATATCATTGCATGCCGATCTTCTTGCGTTTCGGTTGTGATAGTTTTCCAGCACGACTAATCGTGACTAACTATCACAACCGAAATACAAGAAGATCGGCATGCAGCGAGCTTGTAACATTTGCCTTGCGGCGATTGAATCGCGACGATTAAATCGCGTGAACTCTGCCCGAGGCCTAACATTTGCCCATCTCATGCCGGAACGGAATCTATAGATATGTAGAGGTATATCTTCCAATTCTCATTGTAATATTTTTTCGGAGATAGCACACGATTCGCCAAAGTACATGATAATGACCTCACTAAGCTCTACTGGTAGTATAGGTATTCCTAATATAAAAACCATGCCTGATCTAGCTATTTGGTCTGTGATACTGTGATAAAAACATCAGGCTTAACGGAATGCTCCAGAAAAATCTTGTTGCGAGCTCTTGTTACTTGTTGTATTTTGAAAAATTCTAGACTTTCAATAGAGTCTCTCGCTGTATTTATTGCTCGTTAAACTTTTTGATGTGATTGAATTCATGAGAAGAATGGCAGTACAGTAGAGATATAGAAGGATTTCAAATTCAGCCAGTATAATACACTTCCACAGATAATGTCGAAGGAACGTGGACTCGTCGAATTGGGATGGAAATGTCTGGTGCTTGGGAGTCAACAACCGCAGGAGTTCAACAACGGGAAATGGGTATCGGAGTCAAAGTGAGTGTGCCAATCATTAATTCTACCTTTTGGACTGCGACCATCCTTTGCTTACTCATACTATAAGAAAAAATTTCGAGTGCTTAAGTTTGAGTTCCGTTCAAAGTAGGTAGCAAGGATGGATAAGAACTGAAGTTGCTTAGTGACAAATGTACTTCTGGATGAGAAAAGGTTACAAAAAAACAATTCCCTCACTATGAAATCTTAGCTTGGAATATAAACGCACTAAGAACTCACAAAACCTTTGGAAAAGTGGAAAGATGTTACAAGTTATGCCATATTTTTTCCGCAATCTACAGTACCAACACTGCCGCTTTGAAATGCTGCGATATAAACGCGTTGTTGCGCCGAAAATGTCGCATTGCGATAACTCGCTTGAACCTCAACCAATTGAACTCTAGCTTAGATATTTGAAACCAACACCTTCTGGACAATCTGAAAGTGTTTTCAAAAGTTTCAAAATTTCCTTCAGAAAGATCTTTTTTTTAGATCCATCGGCGGTATAAACGCATTGCCGCGTTGGTATCGCCGCGCCCCCACAACTTTCTTCAACCCAAACATATGAAATTCTAGTTCGAATATTTGGAGCCAGCGTCTCCTAAGCTACCCAAAAACGTTTTCAAAAACTTCAGAGTCTTGCTTACAAGTTTTTCTGGCTCCATGTTAGCGGCGATCTAAACTCAATGTCGCGCTGGAAGCGCCGCATTTGTAACTCGGTTCAAAGTCTTTCAGGTGAAATTCGCTGTACAGCTGTCCTAGTCATTTATGTTTTGAAAATGCTATATCAATAACAGTCAAAAGTAAACTTGAACTTTGGTAAATGTAAGAGGCAACCGATCAGACAAACTCTTCCCAGTAGTATAGTGAATTATCAATCTTTATACATTGTATAAAGCGCAAAATAGTAATAAATTTTGGACATCTCATTTTATCAGCTTGCTTTGGTAATCATGATTCGCTTTGGGAGTTAGTGAAATACATGATTTCTATCGAAATAGATCCACACTAATTCACTGAAGGTAGAGCAGAATTTGAAGTCTTAGAATTTGTAAATAAAGTAGTGAGCCAGTAATCTAAAGGTGCTATTAGGAAGAACGTTCGCTTCGAAACCCTCCGCGATTCCCCGCTATTGGAAGATTTTGAAATCGAGCTAAGGCTTCTTCAATATTAAATTAGATTTCAAGACAAGAACGCCTGTCGGTTGTAAACACATCTCAAATTGCCCATCGAAATTTTTCAGTAGACTGACAACTATAATGAAGCCTATAAATAGATAATGATTCTATGTATGTAAATTTAGCGTCTCTTTGTCTGATGAAGGGACAATTACATACGTCATTAGTATTTGCAGTATACTATATGTTCATAAACAACTGCAATAGGCTTTTAGCAAAACGGAAACAAGAAAATGCTGATTGTATTTGTATATCTAATTCAATACATTAGCGTAATGCAGCTAATCATTCACACCAAGCCCAATACGGTATGTTTACGGTAGCGCCATTATAAACTTGTTATGATCGGTTACTCAAACAGCTTTAAGTGAATAGAGCAATCTTGTCAAAAAGAGCGTGGGACAGTACACTTAGTGAATCCTACACCTAAACAATTTTGAGAAGTGGTCAATAACTTTTTTGATGTACACCTCAACCCCACTCATGAAAGTTGATTAAGTGAAGATCAAACTTATTTTGGTTTATCTTAAGCGTTAAATCCTACATATGGGGTCGGAAAACAGATGGTACTTGAGCACAATGCAAATAAAGCTTCAGAGGAAGTATATAAACGCAAAAAACTAAATTACAGTATCTTTTGCGTCACAGGGAGAGATAGGTGCTTGAAAAATAAAGTGTGAAAAGGAAATTGAACGAAAGGCTGCAAAAAGTTATATCACACCATCAAGCATTGTTTAACTAGTTCACTGAGGTGGAAAGTTTCTTATTGATGAAAAACACACAATGGATTAAAAAAACAAAATTTGAACCCGCATTTAGGAACTTGTGAGAGGAAGCTTTTTGAATCAGGAAGAACTTTCAGGTCTTTGAGGTTCAAAAGGCACAAAGGTTACAATATAGTAACAGCAATAGGATACAGAAAATATGATGGCCTTTTATGAGTCAGATAAAGTTTATAAAAAAAAACAAGATAGTTGATATTCCACTCTGATTACCGATAATTTCTGTACACTCCAGTGGGGGGGGGGGACAAAAAATTTCTTCTTTTAAAGGTGCGTGGCTTAGTCACGCACTCAGAAAATTTTTTTGGTATGCCTCCGAAAATTCTCGCGAGCCCATAACCCCGAGCCCCCGAAGAAAATCTTTTGTAAGGTCAAAGTGAATTTGTGAAAAATTCAAATTTTTTTCATTAATTACAGTTATGAACCAAGCACTTGCACACTTTTATAACATATTTAAGTACCTTTCAAGGCCCTTGTTACGCCACTGGTACCCACCGTTTACATCTAATGCGCCATTTATCTATCTATCTCCATTTATCTCACCCTTTTCTTCATTTAGCAGGATGAATATGTTCAAAACAATGCTGTGGGAATGGCTTAATTCTTATAAATATTTTAAAAATATAATAGTTAGGATTTCTTTGCGCTTAGCTATAGTGACTCGCCATAAACGTAAACACTATGAACATAGGTAATCTAGCAACGAAGAGAAGAATTCAAAATTTTTGTTCTTGGCAAGAAGAGCGCATAAGCAAATGAATTTACTATTTGAGAACAATGAGAAAGTAAGCTAGTAGATTACTACCAATTTCAATGCAGCGCAGGTTTGCAGTAGATCCGTAGACAGTTGCATTCATAATTTATTGAATAAAGCTGTCAAAGCTCCAAGGTCTTACAATACTTCTTTGCGGCATGCGAAAATATATAATTCACTATTGCGAATTACGTAGCCATCTCTAAAGTATTTAGTTCTGCGCATTTATTCAAAAACCACACTATCGAATAGTAATTTGAATCCACAGTAATCCGCGGTAAATATGACTACCAGAACAGCTATTAGGCAACACATGATCTGAAATCAACAATTGATCTGAAAACTCTTGTGGCCCACTTACTGTTGGAAAACCTCAGCTATCGTATGCCCCTTTTCCCCCAGTATCAAACATTAGGCAAGCTTTTGAGCAGGCTCACATATTTTATGGAAAATTCAGATAGAAAGCAGTTATTATACTGTACCTTCGCTGAAAGCGCAGATTATAACGAAAAGGTGTAAGCTATGTAGTCACGCTTCAAATAATGTCATGTACTTAACAAAAGCAAAACGTCCTCCCTATGCTTCGGTAACAATCCTGAAGCGAACAAAGGATAAGTGCTTCTTAGTACAAATAGGAATTAGTGGCACAATAGGCTTTCGACCTTGAAACATATGATTCGATTGAAAACACCTCAGATGACACAGTTGTGCCCTTCTTGGGATGTGCCCTTTATCTTCGTTATATAATTTGACGAGAAAATTTAAAGAAGGATCATTGTAGTTTAGAATAGAGAATTTGCGATGCAAAAATATGGGTGATTTGAATTATAGCATATTTTGCGAGATATACTGGTATGACATGCTATAAGAGAAATGTCAAAGTTGATTGCCTCTTTTCAATTTAGCCGTACAGCTAAATTTCTAAAAAATCGAAAAATAATTAACCAAGGTCAAATGCTTACAATCATGGCATATGCGAATGCAACAATCAACAATCTCGGCATCTTTAGAACTAGAATTTATAGTCCAGAATATTTTCAAAGAAAACTCGAGAAAGCAAAAAAAGAATTACTCATCAAGTGCTATGTGAGACAAACAACGAAAATTTTGAAACAATGAAAATTCACCACACTGCAAAAGTGATGTTGTCATACTCAGCATCTACAGACTAATTATTTATGCATCAAATTTGTTCAATCTGTTCAAAACCCACGTAGAGTGGTATAATGGATCTCTGCTCCCCTAGGGTAGACGCTTCTGAGCGCAATGTGCCAATTTCTTAGAGGAAATTGTTTTGCTCGAGAATATAGAATCAGTCTACCATCAACTGCCATTTGCCTTATCGCAAAAATTGGAGTAAATAAACAAGTGGCTGTTTATATTATATTATCTATGACTTCAAGATAAAAATGTGAAAGTTCAGCCTTTTGTATGTTAGTTTATTATCAGTGAAATTTTAATCATGATTGCTTTTTTATGCTAATTCAAGAGAGTTTAGATGTACTGTAGCTGATTTTTAGTGCGCTCACGAGATCGAAGACGAAAATTAGCATCAAAGCTATCTCTAGCATGATGAGCTGTACACATATTATTCTGTTCGTACCCCCCGGTCAGCAGTTCACCCCATCGGGTCTCGCAGGGGAATTCTAATGTGCCTATCCACCAGAGATCACACCTCCTCTTTTCAAATAAGTCAATTAGAGCGCATTTGATCGCGCGGCTCGATTTTATTACTAGTATAATTTCTGATCGTCGAGCACAGAGCTTGTTGATAAGTTCCTGTACTCAATCAGTGCTGTCACGAGTACATTTGGGGTAGCACCGTACCCACAGAACCTTTGTTAAGAATGTTACAAAAAGCGATAACTGATTTGATTATAGTAAAACTAATTTATCTACAAAAATCAGAAGTGCAATTTTCCTCAAACGCTCTTTTTCTTCGGAAATAGCTAGAAAAACACGTAAAATTTATTCACTTCAGAATTGGCTAGAAGAAGTAGAATTTACCCGGGTGAATTATGTCTTTAATTCCACATACAAAAGTCAGAACTGTCAATAGTCATAAATCTTAAAAGTCAATAGATAGCTGAAAAACCGGTGTGAAACATACCTTATTAATTCAACTAGTTCTTCATTTGATTGTTTATCATTCATTTTACACTAACATCTTGAAAGCTTATAAATCAATAAATCAATAAATAAAGAAGACATCGAATTGCAATACAGATAGAATAATAAAATACACTTTTCTCAAGTTCGAGTATCGCATAGCCTAATGTAAACTGCGCTCACAATCATACTATAGGTATACTGTAGCGCTAAATTGCTGATGATGTGGCCTTGAAAAACAATGACAACATATTCTAAAATTTGGTCAAAAATTCATACTGGATTAATTTATTTCAGTGAAGAATTTCCTATTGACATTGTACTTGGAATGGACAAAATATCACAAATATATAAGGTCATCATCGAAACTGACGAGCAATATACACGTGGGTTCCTTTCCCTTTGTTTGAGATACTATCAGCAACTCAGGCATTCATGGATTTCAGCTTCGAAAGTGGAAGTATGCATAGGAATTGGCGATGACGCTCTTGAAAGAAGCTACAAAAATGCACGGATGGCGGAATTCAGTGAAATTGTGGAAATGGAGTTTGATGGCAGTCAGAGGATTGCCAATAGGATGGAATTGAGGTGAACTATTATCGCGATAGTTAAGGAAGTTATAATGTCATAAGCAATGGCGCCAACATTAACGAGGTCTCGAAGGGGAGGGAAGGAGATGCAGGGGGATTTATACAGAAAAGGGAAAGGAATCCGTATTTTATATTGATTATTTTGAGAGTTTCTTTGAAATTCCGCGACTCATCTCGCAAAATTCTAAGTCATGCTCGCATAGGTTCCGTAGTGTGTAACTGCGCCACTTTTACAGCTACAGCGGGGAAAACTACCATCATAGTAAAAAAGCTGAAAAAGAGAAAAGTAGCGAAAGTTAATCGCACAATGATAAGGAGACCTCATACTCGTATAATACCGCCTTGAGATGCACATTCAAAAAGTGGTGCAATTACACAAAGCGGCTAAACAACTGTAAGCATGTATGATTTCCTACACATCATTTATGAAAAAAAAAGGCTCTTCAATTTACATTTCATTCGCGCTGAAAAACAGAACATGGGCTCGTCTATGCACAACTATGATGGTAAATATAACAAAAAGATAATCGCAACCTCGTATTGTGTGGGCGGAACAGCTAAACATAGATGTAAGCGCTATAATGTAGATGAATTCGTCTATTATCTGGAAAATTGCTTGACAGCCGTATAATGCGCATTTTGAAAATTTGAGGCTAGTGTCAGCCCAGAATGGCTAATGTATGGCCACTTTCAGGAACGCATTTGAAAGCTTTCCCGGACAGTACATGTGGTTGATGGTGCATGAACCGGACACAACCTTTTCGAATAGGTATAAAAGGGTAAGAGTATAGTAACTATCTTGCTAACTAAGCTTTAGGCAAGTCTGTTAAGATTGCTAAGATCTTAAGATCTTTGAGCATCGCTGTTAAGATTTCTAATCAGATTTTCTGTTCTCAGCCAGACAAAACAATTTGCAAGGCCTTTGTTGGTATTGAAGCCACAATCTATTTACAATTTATTCATTATTTTTCATGAAATGAGTGGTCAAAGACAAGATAGAGAGAAAAACCATTTGAAAAACAACATAAAGACGAATCATTATTATTCTTTCAAAATTATTTGGAGCAAGTTGCCATTTTCTTATTTTACGATTTCCTATCATAATTATACAATCTGTGCTAAGAACATTGTGTGAACTAGCATGTACCAGTTTAAACTTTTTGGTAATAAAACATTTCTATTTTATTCTACCTCTTTTGGTCAGTTACAAGTACAATTTAGGTGGGATTCAAGAAAGTGACCATACTCGGCTATCCGCTATCAGACGCTGAAATTGCCGAGCTTAACTCAAAAATCAAGAACGGAAACGTAAATGGAAGATTGAATTGTAGGTCTTATTATGCGCACCACAGATTAGTAAGCAATCTTGGAAAACTACTTTTCTACTTTCCCATAAGGGCACAATATTTGTTTTAGCCAGAGGCTCATCTCGTGCGTCTTCGAGGCCATCTTCAAAGAGCAGACGCCCGGCTTCATCGCAAAAAGATAAACAGGAAAAGGCCAGATATCCTCCGGAAGGACGGTATAGCTAGTGAGCTGGCTCACCACGTCGTTTTGAGCCCGCTTAGAAGAAAAAAATAGGAACTTTTTATTTTTGCAGTAGTGGAGATGGAATGCATATGAACAGCGAAGGACTTGGAGGAGATCCATTGTCAACTGTACGTCTAGTGAAGAAAGTGCTCAAAGATAAAATGGAAAAAGCAAATCAGGTATGACTACAGCTATGACAGTGATTACGCCGTTTGCGGAATTTGCGGAATTTGCGTAACCTGGGGGATTCTTGGGATTTGAACATATTCTATTAGAAGATTCTTCTCATTAACCCAAGTGTAATTTCGCCTGCAGGATTCAAATATATCTCCTCAAAGGGAAGTTATGGCTGAACCCCTCTTGTCCCGCAAATCCCGCAAGTTTCGCGAATCACGCGAAAATGGTCATACTCCGTAATGGCTGCAGTAGAAAGCAATGCTCTTGATTCCTCCTTGCAAATTTCTGCAAATTCTTTTGTTGACAAGTAGGCACAACTCTGGCAATCAGGTACCTTTCTTGATAATCAGAGTCTTCCTCATTAGTTCTATAACTTCACAAATGACTTCGAATTATCGCGATAGGCGCAACAAAGCTCGACACGTGCGCAAATAATTGCGCTAAATTCACTTTACTAGATGATTCATTCACTTGACAACTCTATAGAGTAGAATAGCAGAGATCTAGTCTTGTATGTGGTAAGGAAAAGCTGAGGATAACATATTTTTTATTGTTGCTGTGTAGGGATCACAGCAATCAGATTACACAGCTTGTTATTGTTGATCTGACGTAACCCTCATTTGTCAGAAGAGCTCAAGTGATTGAAAGAGGAAATTGAAAAATACTTATTACTCTGTCAAGAAGAAAGACTTGTTCAATACATCTTTTCTGTACAATTTGTCAGCTATTAGGCGAAACAGGGAAGATGTGAATAATGTTGTTTTCTAGCCAAAAGCAATGATTTTTGCTATAATTTTTATTGTATTTTATGAACTGCAGCGTAAGCAGAATACGCAGCAGTTCATAAAGTACAGTAAATATTATACAAAATCTATTGTTCTTGTTATGGTCACGTCGAATAGTATCTCAGACCTAATATTGAACATGGATAAGAATTGTTCAATTGCCTATCTTGCCGCCCACCCAGAACTCGGCAGGGACTGGCACTAGGGAAATTTCAAAACGAAGTCCCCTTTATGAAAACTCCGTACGAAGTCCCCTTTGACCTTAAACCTTAAACGTAAAAAAGCTTAAAAAATGGAACATCAACTAAAGCATTGTCGCAATTTTTATGTCTTTTCGACCACAAAAAATATATCCCCCTTTGCTTTTTGTCCCAAAAACGATATCTAGCTTGATCCGGTGCCAGCTGTGCCGAGTCCTCTGCCAAACTCTGCTGTACCTTTATACGATTAATAAGCACCTTTTTTAAAGTTTTTGTATACTTTTTCAAGCAAACTTATGTACGTTAGGAGGTTGGCCTTTCCCATTACGTACATCCCACAGTTTGAAGGTCTAAGTTTAGGGGAGAAGTTACATGGGATATTTTAAAAATGATGAATCAAAACGAAGAAGCCCAGATACGATTTTTGTAAGCTGACTTTGCGACATATGCGAGTTTTCAAAACTTATTTGAGCTAGTTGACCTTCTACCCACATTTTCGACCTCATTCAGAGCAGTTTCACCCGTTCAAAATTGGGAAGAAGAAATTTTGTTGCAGTCTATGGTACACTTCAAGAAGACCCAGAAATCTTATCGTGACTTGAGTCGCATCGCTGGTAATTTGCGGGAAGGAACCTCTCCGATTTATTTTGCAAACAGCAAAAGGAAGTCTTCTGTCAGGAAAGGGTCCCAAGTCGATCTGGCAAATGATTCGTCTTGAGCTGAAAGTCTCCTAGGAGAATTCCTGAGTCTAGAGGCGAATCTGGCAAACATTTAGTGTACATTTAGAAATGCTGTAGAAAACAGTGATATTTTCGTTGAATGTGTTTTCTCTTTGTAGTCAGTTCACTCAATACAATACCAGTTACTCCCTTAACCTGGGCTTCAAAGCATATACAATCAGAGTTAAAATGATTGCGCACGTTCGAGCATTCATAACTTATTTTAGAAAGTCGCTCAGAATCGGAAAATATATAGGTTTGAAATCAGCTCATCAAAACGCATTTATTGGCTTGCGTCATTGTGATCCTTCCCTGCTAGCATGAATAGAGTTGTGCAGTCCCGACGCAAATTATTATCTGGTTTTGGCGGAAAATTTAGAAGTTGTGGTGGCAAGTACTAACAAACGTAGTGGAGGGTATTTTGGATGATAGGGAATGCAATGCTGAACAGATTGGATAATTTTTTGGAAAAAAAAGAATGCGATATGGAATATTAGGTTGGCACAAAAGTTCTGTCGCACCATTTTTGAACATTCGTAATTCTGACTATCGCAACCAATCTGCTTAGAGGTTATCTAACCTGCTTGATGTGGAACGCGTTGAGCCGTTGACGATTTATTAGAAAAACACAAGAGTTCCCCCTCTGCCTATCGGCGTACATGCCGAGGGTTCACTAGAAATAGCTCAGGAACAACACACACAATATATCAAAGTGCGGCGGGTACGCCACAACCACAGAGACCATATCGACCTAGCCTACAGTGAGCGAGCAAGTTCCAACATAAGGGACGGCTCTACAACACCTCCCTCCTAAGATGAACAACGGTACATCTTACAAAAAGGATCTACTTGTAGACGGGCGACTTGGTCTGGTTGATGACGTAGTTGAAGTTGCATGGCGTTCAGCGATGTCCATGCCATTGTCCAAGCGGTCTTCTTCGGAACGCATGGTGTGCGATGAGTCACGACGGCGATCCATACTTGATCCACTACGCATCTGGTTCGCATGTCGTCTCCATAACTGGTTGTCTTCCGTAAGCACATCGTATACGGCTTTTCCGTAGTGTTTCTTCACACGCGCTGGAATCCATTTTTCACATCCAGAGCGAAAATCACGTACCCACACGTCTTCTTGTGGTTGGTACGCTTTCTTCCGTGCTCCATGATGACTGTTAAACTGCTTCTCCATGGTTTCATTGGCCAACTTTCCTTTTTCTTTGGAATCTTCATCTAACAGCGACAGCGGTGTCCTTATCTGACGTCCCAGCAACAGTTCGGCTGGCGAAAGTTGTTCCGGGGTAGACGTCGAGGGCGTTCTTCGATAACATTGCAAAAATTCTGCTAGCTTTCTGTGCCGTCCCTCCCTTCTTGATTTTCTGAAACGTTCTCTTGAAGATATCCACAAACCTCTCGGCTTGACCATTCGATTGTGGATGGAACGGAGGGGAGCGCATATGCTTGATTCCTTGCTCTTCACAGAAATCTTGGAATTCCTTTGCCGTAAACTGTGTTCCATTATCCGACACGATTACTCGCGGATTTCCGAATCTTGCGAAGAGTAGTCTGAGTTCCTTTAAAGTTGCAGCAGTCGACGATGACGACATTTCCAGCACTTCCGGCCATTTGGAGTACGCATCGACTACGACAAGATACATCTTTCCATTTAGTGGTCCTGCATAGTCAATGTGTATTCGGTTCCATGGTTTTTCTTCCATTTTCCATGAATGCAGTACAGTCTTCACTGGCATCTTGGCGGCTTCTTGACATTTTCTACAGCAGCGTACTGAGTCTTCAATAACTCTGTTGATGCCCATCCAGTATGCGAATCCTCTCGCGAGCATCTTCATCCTTGTCATTCCAGGGTGTCCCTCGTGTAACTGCTTCAAAACCTCTTGTCGCAGCGAGACTGGAATAACTATTCTGTGGCCAAAGTACAAACATCCATTTTGCACTGATAAACTCTCGCCCAGTGCTCTCCAGTTTCCGATATCTCCTTTCGGCTTGGACGGCCACGATCCTGACTGCAGCATTTGTGTAACCTCCATGATGTTTTCGTCCTTATGGGATTCCTCTTCAATCTTACTCCTGGTCACTGGTAGCGCTCGTACAGCGGCAGCTTGAACGGCTTGCACATCTTCTTCTATCTTCGCTATCACGACGTCCTCGGTTTGGAATGGCCGTGGAGGGATCAATCGAGACAATGCATCGGCTTGTCCGAATTCGGTCGTCTTCTGGTACTCCAAATCGAAATCGTATGCGAGAAGAATAAGTTTTCATCGTTGCAATCTGTTCGCTGTGTACACAGGTACCATCTTCTTCGGTCCAAAAATGTGCAGCAGCGGCTTGTGGTCGGTGAGCAGCCTGAATCGACGTCCGTATATATATCGATGGAACTTACGCACTGCGAAAACCAGTGCAAGTCCTTCTTTTTCAATTTGTCCATAATTCTTCTCGGCGGATGTGAGGCTCCGGCTTGCATGACAAATCGCCTTTTCCGATCCATCCGGCATCTTGTGTAAGATCACAGCTCCAATTCCGGAATCCGATGCGTCGGCAGCTACCACTATCTGCAACTTAGGGTCGAAATGTGTAAGGAGTAGATCCGAGGCCAAAACTTCCTTAGCACGCTCGAATGCGTGTTGGCATTCCTTTGTCCACTCGAACCTTGCTTCCTTCTTGAGCAGTGCGTCCAAGGGTGCACGGAGCTGGCGCATCTCTGCTACGAATAATCCGTAGTAGTTGATCATGCCGAGGAAGGAACGAACATCTGCTATGTTCTTCGGGGCTGGCATTTTGTTGGATTACCTCAATTTTCTTCGGATCCGGCCGGCGTCCGTTCTTGTCGATAATGCAGCCTAAGTAGCAAATTTCTGGCATCAGAAAGTTGCATTTTTCCAACCTGACATGGAATCCATAGTCCTTGATCCGCTTGAAAAGAGCTTCCAAATTTTGGCGATGCTCTTCGTAACTCCTTCCCGTGATGATGATGTCATCGAGATAAGCGGCTACTCCATCAAATCCGCTTATCATAGAATCCATAATCTGTTGAAATATGCCTGGCGCGGATTTTACTCCAAAAGGTAGGCGATTGTAGCGATACAATCCCTTGTGCGTATTGATGGTTAGCATCTCTCTCGATGCTTCTTCAACTTCCACCTGTAGATAAGCTTCGGCCAGGTCGAGTTGTGTGAAGAGCTGGCCTCCGTTTAGTTTTGCGAACACCTCCTCCGCCGTGGGCAATGGGTGCTGATGCAGCTGCAAAGCATCATTCAATCCTGTCGAGAAGTCGGCATATAGACGAATTTTGCCATTTTTCTTCTTGACGGCGACCACTGGCGCGGCCCACTCTGAGTGTTCGACCGGAGAAATGACTCCTTCGGCTACCAAGCGATCGATTTCGGCTTCCAGTTCCGGTGCTGACGCGTAAGGCACCGGTCGCTTCTTCTTGAAGACCGGAACAGCATCGCTCTTCAAGACTAATTTTGCCTTACTCTTCGTGCACTTTCCCAGGTCGCTGTTGAAGACTTCACCATACTTCTTCTTCAAGTCGGCAACCACTTCGGCTCGGAACTTCTCTTCGCTAGTCACCTTTCTGCAATGGTAGTTGTCCTTCAGCTTTTTGTATGCCGGCAGCTGGATGCACCATTCCAGTCCCAACAGATTCGAGCCTTCGGTGACGTAGCATGTGCCATTTCCACGAACCATCTTCCCTGTAACTCGATCTCTGACGGAAAAGTCGGTCGAGAATTTACCGTGTATCTGCATTGGCGTTCCGTCTGCGGTTTTCACAGGCATCATACAGGGTTCCAGAGTAGGCGATCCTATCTTCTTCCAAGCTCTACGCGATATCAAGGTTATGTCTGCACCCGTATCCAGCTGGAGCTTGAGAGAGCATCCTTTGATTACGACGTCGAGATAAGTCCGCGTACTCTCGGCGTCGAAAGCGACCACATTCTTGCACTGTCCTTTGCGACCAAAGCGTTTTGCACCTGTCCTCCGTCGCTTCTTCCGACCAGTGCTGCCAGATTGAGGGCACTCTCTTCTGAAATGTGGTCCTCCGCATATGAAGCAATTCACCTTTTTCTTCCATACAGCATGGATGTCGCGCGTTCCTTCCATGTCTGTATTGTCCATTTTCAGGGCAGTGAAGTTTTCACAGTCCGTGACTAAGTCCTCTATTGTCAATGGTGCTTCTTCCGTGTGAGCGTCCAGTCGCCGAATCATCCGAAGGCGAAGTTCCCTAAGTGAGGGATCTTGAAGTCCTGCTACAAACTGCAGTGTCTTCATCGCCGTGTAATCAAGCTCCTTGAGGCGTGCATCCTCGTCCATCCGTTTGATAGTATTGGCGTAGTCGCGAAACGGTACGTACGCTGGCGTAAGCGGAGGGCACGTTATCCTTAGGCACTCATACCGTCTCCTGATGAGCGTCTTCTTGGAGGCGAACAGCTTCTGGAGATTTGCGACGGTGGTGTCGAAGTCCAAGTCGTTTGGTTGCGCAGGCAGGATCTCATCGGCATACTTTCGGTATGCTTCTTCATCCAGCTTCATAAGGATCAAATCGCGCTTCTTCTGATCCGAAAGTTGGGAGTCTCGAATGACCGGTCCGTACCTGCCATACCAGTAAGCAAAGGTGTTACCTGTATCTTCGTCTGAGACGAATCTTTGCACGTCTTTGCTCAGCTGATCGTACTGATCCTTGCTGACGTCCTGGACGGCTACCCTTTGGCTGCTGGTCAAAGCAGTGACCAACGCCTTCATTTGATCCTGTTGTGCTTGCAATTGCACTTGCATTTGCTCCTGTTGTGCCTGCGACTGCATTTGCATTTGCTCCTGCAGAGCTTGCGTCTGCATTTGCATTTGCTCTTGTTGAGCTTTCCATTGTGCTTGCATATGCTCCTGTTGAGTTTGTAGTCGGGCCTGCATCTGTTCCTGTTGAAGCTGCATATGCAGCTTCATCTCCTCCTGTTGGAGCCGCATCTGGTCGACCATGACCGATAGGACCCTTTCCAGAGATTCGCCATGCCGCTCTTCACTGGCTTTCGGCATGGTAGACCTCTCTGGTGTCGACGAAGTCTTCTGCTAAATCGATAAGCTTCTTAGCAAAGCTTACTTGTCTGGCTGTCCTCGACCACTGACAGCTTCTTCCTTGATTCGAGCTGCAGCGCTTCTTCTCCTTGGTCGGTGGAGGCTTCCGGTCCTTGTCGATCGAGCTTCTTCTGGTCCTTGTCGATCGAGCTTCTTCTGGTCCTTGTCGGTCGAGCTTCTTCTGGTCCTTGGTCGGTGGTGGTCTTCTTGTCCTTGATCCTGATCGCCAGTTGTAGTAGAACGCGTTGAGTCGTTGACAATTTATTAGAAAAACACAAGAGTTCCCCCTCTGCCTATCGGCGTACATGCCGAGGGTTCACTAGAAATAGCTCAGGAACAACACACAAAATATATCAAAGTGCGGCGGGTACGCCGCAACCACAGAGACCATATCGACCTAGCCTATAGTGAGCGAGCAAGTTCCAACATAAGGGACGGCTCTACAACAATTAATAATATAATTATCAAAGCATTTCACTCATGAAATAAAAAATAAATATGAAGAAAAAATTAAAAAATCGATAAAAAATAATCACACTTGGTTGCTTTTATTGAGGGCTAGTAAGATTTCAACAACTCAATTTGTTTCAAGGTGCATTCAATTTTTTCATCAATAAACGCTAATAACTCTTCCTTCACAAACACTCCACAAGTAAGGAAAGCAGATTTGGAATCAGCGTATTATGCTCTTCAACATCGTATGCATCCTATCCAAAAGGCCACTTCGACTAAACATGCTTTCTTTGCGACTTAGATAGGATCGAGACGTTGCATCAAGGTTCAGCATTAATTGTATTTTATTTCCACGCATTCTTATTCAATTTTTTGCATGAAAGTCAGACGCTACACTGTCCCAAACAATTTTGCATCTAATTTCATTTGCTGTGAGCAACTTCATCAAAGACTGACACTAACTGTTAACGTTCAGCAGCGTGATTTTCCAAAGACCCTATTTCCAGGAGGAGAGGGAAGTGGAGGCGACGGTATGTTTGAGGGGCATACAACGATTAAAGGAGCATGAGAAAATGCTTGAAGAACTTTCACAGAAGCGAAGCAACGCACTTGTGCATAATGAAACGGAGCAGGTCGTTTTCACCTTCTAATTGAAAAAAGATCGAAAAGTCTTTTTTAGGCTGAGAGGATTTTATTGTCTATGAAGGACTGCCGTGATACTGTATTGCGATCCGTTCATGTGGATTTGCTGCTAGGACGCGATGAGGTTGTGCAATCACGTACTTTCTGCGTCGTACAATACGTACATTACCCCCACTTTTGACTTTTCCTGTTTGTCTTTTGTTACAAAATTTTCTTTTTCGAAAGAAATATGAGTGAAACGAACCATAAGTTCCGAATTTTAGTTGCGAGCCATCGGAATCGATTCTCAATGGGCAGAATGATCTCTGAGACATGAAGAAACAAAAATCAAAGTCCTTTATCTGCTATTTACATAAAAATATTCTTAATAATGCTTAATTCACGACTATTGGTCGATCATCTTGGACTTGTGCTGGTATGCTTTCGGAAGCTTTGCTATCTTCCTCTTCTGTTTTTTCCTCACCAAAGTAGAATGTACGAAGTGCATTTGCACAAATTTCCCTCTGGCAAGTTCGGACTCGCTCTTGCATGGTTTTACTGGAAATAAATCATTCAATCATAAATTCCAGAAAACAAGAAGAGTGTGAGATAAGATTATAGATTAGAAGATTATAGAATGTTCCAGAAAATTGATAAGAACCAAACGATACCATCCTCACGAACACTGAAAAGATTGATTTCGGTCTCTTAGACTTTCAACTTCTTACAACAAGGTAAATAGAATTGTTTACTCTGAACAATAGGCAAGGCTCTGATGTGTTTTCTAACCTTTGATCGAGTATCACGTTATCCTGATAGTAGTTGATAGAGGCATGGGGGCGGGAGGGGAGCAACGCTCAAATTTTAGGAAGCATAAGTGACAAAATTAAGCAAGGAAAGTTTTCGTTTGTTAATCACCATTCATTTTCGGAAAATTTTAGAAAATTCTAACTGTCCCATAAAACATTTTTCGGGGCTTGTGCAAAATACGGGCTTATCAGACATTAGAGAGATAGTTGAAACCATCCCGAAAAAAAAAACCTTTACCGCTACTGAAACGATTCAATTAAGTAGTTGGTAATCTCCAGAAAATTTTAGGAAACATCAACTCACTCAGTTTTGAAAAACGAAAAAGGAAGCAAGATATACTTTACTGCTTCTTTATTGACCAGTTCAACCCCCTTCAACTTGAAGGGGAACAAGGAACTTCCTTTCAGACTTTTATAATATTTTGATTAATGCTTTTTTGCGCTTGCCAAAATATGAACGAGGAGTTTCGTACTAGTGGAATTAGCCCCTACTCTATAATAGCTCATAATCAGGGATTGATCTTTGCACTACTGAAGCCTTTCTAGAATGTAAGTTCACTTGGAGGGAATCCAATAATCAGGTGATGTCAGATAACATTGTATGTTCCGGGAAAAAACAGCTATAAGGTTTTTTTCTAATAATAAAATGATCACGCCATCTATGTGAGTTCGCAGATAATGAAACTCTGATAGCAGCCATTTCTGACATCTACCAAAAAAGCACTAAAGTGATTTTAGCAAAAAGTGATGTTAGCTACGAAAATATAGCGTACATTACGGAACTTAGATAAGCAAATAAAAGATGATTCTGAGTCAAACACGAAGGAGTGTTTGTCAATGAAGAAAAATTCCCTAGCTTTGCAGAGCTTTACAGTGCAATCAAATCTTATCTTATTAGCTTTTTCAATGAGCTCAGGCAGCTCAAAAAAAAAATGATTTTCAATCTGGGACCGTTTATTATCTGTTACGGTATGCTGCTAGTGATTGTTTGAACTCTGCTGTTTTTGCTGTCGAGGTCTGAGCTCGGACAGTTACAGTAACTACGATTAAACGCAAAAAAAACTAGTAATCCAGTTTTTTTTTTCGAAGAAATAATATGATCTTTTCATTACTGGTTTCAAGCATAGTTTTGCCAAGAAAGCGAGTCTGAATTTGGTAGTTTTTACATTTGATTGCTTATTATTTATGTTACACAAAAGTGCGCCTAAAAATTAAAAAAGCGTGCAAAAACAATGCAAAGGTCTTCCAAAAAATCGTACAAAACATCCTGCATTTCGGAAATGATCATAGTGATATATTTTTCACAGAAAAAATTGGTTGCAAGCCAAATATCAACCGAAAATTTTTGACATTTTGATATCAAGAATATCTGACACTATCTTACACTTTAGAATAAAGGGGGGGGAGTAGAATATTGCCTCATCTGTGCTTCTAAAATTTAGAGCTTTAGTTAAATTTGTTTGATTTTTTATTGAAACGCTCATAGGCGCGGTAAAACTTCAATTTTCTATCGAGAATTGAGCAATTTTCCATCGAAAAAATTTTCTCACCTATAAAACATGGATCCATCAAACTGTCCGGCTGGAACTCCAACAACATCGCAGATAACTGCTTGAGTCCTCGCCGCAAATTCTACCTTTGTCTCCGTTGGCAATTTGATCATCGATGCTGAAACAAGAATATTTGGTAACATATGGTATGTCCTTGAAAGGAAGTAACTCACGTAGATAAGTGACATCATAGTAGATTGCCCAGCTACTCATTACACGTAAGAGATACATATAAAATAAATCATCAAACCAAAATGAGTCTCCATAGCGACTTCTCTGCCTAAAACAGGTCTGATATTATATTTCCGTGGGCAACTTTGCTTAATTTTAGCAGAAGTGTAATACGTCAAATAAGAAGCAATTTCAGCATCTGAAGCAACAAAAACCCAATTTCAAAAATGGTATTATAGAAACATGCTCGATAGGCTTTCTTACACAAAGTGATGAAGCTTCTGATTATGCTTAAACTGGAATCAGACTGCTGATCGATAGTTTTTAGATTTATTAGAGCCAGAGAGGAAAGATGGGTCTACAAGCCTAATTTACGATTTTTGAGGTCATACCAACTCATGAAAATTTTCGCAATCTTAAATACTTTGATCCCATATTTAGACACTCACTTTATTGCAATAGGATAAATCCTGACACCATCATCGAAAATCGCTTTTCTGAACTGTAGCACTTGCGTATTGTTCGAGCAATAGCCTTCAGGGAAGAGCAGAATCGGTCCTCCAAACTAAATTTATCCCGTAAGCTCTGAGCAATTTCTTTTGCATCTGCTGAAATTACCTGAGATTTCTTGATTATTTCAGTGAGAAATTCACGACGATCGGCCTTGTTTTCTCTTTCTACCCAATAAGTTGGACATAGACTACTGGCCAGTGTCTCCATGGAGCCTGAAGTGAATAAAAATTGCAAAATTACGAGATTTGAACCTACTACTAAATCTGCTCATATCACTTGACAGAGACAGATTTTTTACATATAGACTTTAATTTTAACTTTGATATGAGTTTTTTATTTGTATTGCAAAACTAGATGAACTTAAAATTATCAATAAAACTTTCCGCTTTTTGTCATCGAAAATTTTCTTGATAATTTTAAGTTCGTCTAGTAATATAATAATATAATTTGAGGCTCTTATGTGGCTGGAATGTTTAGAGGTCCTCGTAACATATGATGGAATCTGAAGTTCCCAAAATTATATCTATCGCTCAAAAATTTTCGTGCAAAGTGCAAAAAATCATTTTCTCGACCCGTTGCACTGATCTTGCATGGTAGACATCAATCACTCCACCATCGAAAATGACAATTTGAATTACTGCTTGCCAAATTTATTTTGAATGACACCTTTTCAATGATCATTGATCTACTCTCACCAATTATCCCCTCGTGCTTCTGTCCAGTGATCACATAACCGTACGATGATCCAACTGGAGTGTTTGAGAACAATATTTGCGCATCGTTTGGTGTCATGTGGTTAGCAACGGCCACTCCTAGAAAAGGTAAACATAAATAGATTATAATCTTTTACAGGAAATGAGGCACTCACCAGGTCCTTTTGGTCTCAGATGTTTATTTCTGAAAGAAGCGACTACTCCCATACTACAGCAAAATAGCCGGCTGTAAACGATGCCAACCCAAGTTTTTTCTTTATCGGTCAATCTCTGAAAAACGAGAGTTGAGGTTCCGGTTAAAAATGTCACCTTAGAATGTGAATGTCAATTACCCTATTGACTGCAATAATTACAGCACCAATTAGAAAAGCGAATGAAAGTAATAGAAAGGCCAATCGGATGGGAAACAAGAAAGTCCATCTGGAAAAAAGACGTAAAGCATTTGAATAAAGAATTACTTTTTATTCAAAAACGGTATGATTTACCTGAAGATTACGGTAAGGTAGAATAGAGCTTTTTGGAACTTGGTCCACTGAGGATATGGTGTCATACGAAGAAGTGATTGACTATGTGTTGGCGCTCTTCCAAAAACTGGGGCCACATTATCCTGAAACAACTTCTCATTTCAAAATAAGAAAATCTTATGTTTTCCTTCCAAGTTTTCTGCTTTCAGTTCATGGCTAAAATCCAAGAAAAAAATTGACATATAAAAAATCAGATAGTATAATTCTCTTACCTGGACAATGGCCTCTATTCCTGAATGCAGCGCGTCTAGTGAGATCTTTAATGAATCCCTGGGATCGGTCAAAAATGGAAAATGAGATGAAGAGGTTTCCTTATCACGCATTAGGGAATTGTACGGATCCTGAAAAGGATGCCTTGAGGAAAAAAGAGGAACAAAACGCGTGGTTGGTTATCTAAAGACCATGAAAAATGCTTACCTTCTTTACAATGGCTGGGTATGGAGCATGAGATTTCGGGTAAACCTTTGGGTAAAATCTCTGTATCCATCGCACAATTCCCAGGTAGTAATGCGGCAACGGTCCCCAACTTTTTCCGATCAGAATCAAAAACGTTGTTGAGATGATGCATCCGAGCAGAATCGATCCATAGATGGCCAACAACTCCAAGATCATCCCTGGAAAGATGCTCGTTCGAGTAAGCAAGGTCACCGTTGGGTTATGCGTTATGCGGGTCAAACCACTAAGTCGCGGGACCACGTGAGTAACTCGGGGAGAAGAGCACATGGTGGTTTTAGAGAGAGTACAAACAGATTAGTGAGTGATGACGGCGAATCAAAGATTCGTTTGAAGTACGTAGATATTGCACTTGACCACATTTGGAACACGCAGTAAGCGAAGGCAATTAAGGCGGGGGGGGGGGACCAAAAGTGGCAGATAAGCCCAAAAAAAGTAAAACGAAGTGCTTAGTTAAAAAACATTTAATCGGATTTGATGGTCCACTAAGTAGTACATAACTCCTGCTAATCAGCATCGAAGATTTACTTTTTTAAATCATTTTATTGGAGGCTATTATGAGTTATTAACTATGTTAAATGACAGAAAAGTTTTTTTGCAGCAATGCTGCCATGCAATCTCTTCTAATTTCCGTAATGTCTGGGAAATTTTCTGTAATTTGGAAAATAGAAAGAAAAGCAGGAAACTCAAGAGATCTTTCTATTGATGGAGGAAGCTCCGATTGCGATTCGTGCAGAGCCAGATTTGATTTTTACTTGCAGATTCTTTGTAGGGTAAGCAATAACTAGAGTGTATTATCGAATATGTCAGCCGCAGTGCAGAGTATAGTAGGTGAGTCTCACAGTCAATAGAATAAGGTTCAAATTTTGCTTAGGTGTTCTCTTTTGCTGTTGTGGTTCGCATTCTTTGAAAATTCCGCAGGTAACCCGGCGGAACTTTCCCAAACGTTCCGCGGAAGTTCCGGCCAGTTATCTGAGAATGTGGTTGTCTGTATGTCCAATACAAGAGGACACATTTATCCATGTAAATAAATCCTGAGGGTCGTTCTCCCCATGATGCAAGAAATGATAAAACCAAATTTGAAAAAAAGAAAATAGGAACCTGTCTAAAGATTATTGAATTAGTGGTGCGCAAAGCAGTTTTCAAAGGCTGATTTCCCCAGACTAAACAGTCAAAAGTGATTTTATGGAGTTAGTAGCCGAGAGTGAAAGTCTCGCTGACGGTTCGAATAGGAGAGATTTCTCACAAGCAATTAGTGGTTTCAGGCCACATTTATGCATCTAATCTCAAAGCATTTTTCTGGATCATATAAAAAATATTATGGATTGATCTGAGAGCTCTGAGATGTTCGAGTCTAGACATACTGGAAGATTTCTTCGCAGAGAATGCATATAAGGTTAGTATTGAAGAGCTTTGGGACCCATTGAGTGTCAGTACTCAGAGAAAGTGGAAATCTCGTTATGAAAGCAGTGCAGATTGTTAGAAGTACTAAAGATCTACGAACAGACGGGATGGCTGGCTGGAGTTGTTTTCCTGATGTCCGATCACATCAACCAGGTTCCACAACTGTTCCCCGGAATAGGCGGCTGAGTGCAAAAACAATCGGTGATTCGGCGGAGTGCAGTGGCGGTAACGCGATCACCTATTTTTATATCCCGGATGCCACTGTGATTGACATAATCGTTATAACTGGCATGACCGATGCGATCACACCACCAGAAGAATTTGCTTTTTACTGGAGTTTTAAAAGGTGGAACGTACGGCTCGCTCTCGTCTATATTTTATTTTATTGCAATTTATATATAGAGAATGCTAGCCAAGAAAGAAATCGCTTTCTCATCTTCGACTCCCTCAATTTAAGTGCACAGCAACATTCAAATAAAGGTTTTTTGGGTAAAAATTTGGCAGCTTACAAGAAGCGACTCCGCTTATGAAAAATAATATCTTGAGTTTGTAAAGACTATAAATTATAGCGACTTTAGCAAGAGTAAGAATGTTCGATTACTCATTTTTAACTATGTGGTGCGCAAAGTTTACCATTATTCAGAATTCGAGTAAATCATCATGCCCTACCTCTTATTTACTCGAAGATACTGACGAGTCATCTGTAACTTAATACATGAACTTACAGACCACACTCGCCATCCTACGACACCTTAGCTACAAATAATCGCCACCGGATCAAATTTTCACAAAAGAAAATATATGTATGTTTTTTCAACTTCTTCTCGAAAAAGGAAAGAAATCGAAAATCAATTCGTATAAACTGGCTCAAACCTGCATGCACAGATTCGTGATATACCGCGCATTGTGTGCACTACACATATTTGGTTACAAATCCTTTAACGGGTAAAAAATGCTTTTTCTCTAAAGCAGTTTGCGAATCTTGCTGCTGCAGGAAGCTAATTGTTTTGCTGCAAATTCCAATCGTATTTGATTTATTCGTTTCATTCGTCTTGGTAACACACATATTCAGTTTTTGATTTTATATTTTCTCAAAAGGGAATTAGACATCATAGTACTTCCGAAACATAGGTCACATACTTTGTTCCCATAAAAATTCGCGCACATTGACGAAACATCTTTTATGAGTCTTCTCTGAAAAGAATAACGTCATAAAATGTCCTGAATCAGTGTATAATTTGTTTCCGGAAACTTTGACCTCGTTAAGATTTGACTACTTCGAGTCAGTGCTCAGTTTGCTGAACCAAATGAAGAAAACATGATGCACAGTACATTTGCCTTTCACTTTCTTTTCTTCAAAAAAAAAAGACCCCAAATGATTAAGGCAAAAAATTCTACATTCTTTAACTTTTCTGTAATTTTTTGGGTCAATCATTCCCCTTTTGCCGAATGATTATCAGGTGCTCAGCGCTCATTTCTTTTTTTAAAACTTTTTCCGGGTCGAAAGATAAAAAATGCTCGTTGCTATTTTACACTTGTGATGTACGAAAGTCCAGAAACAGTAAAAAGTAAAAAAGAAGAAAAAAGTACAAGAAAAAAAAGCAAAAAGTAGAAAAAAGGAAACATCAAAGTACGAACGGCATCTTTCAGGTAAAAGGAAGGCTTCCGGCTTTACAAGGCAAATAGAAAAAGAGAAGGAAGTGGCAAGAACGCGAACAAGTAGGCTGAGACAAAGAGCTAACAAACGTATTGAGAAATGGCTGTTCTCCTATTTGTAAAAAAAGAAGGAAAGCTTGGAAGAAAAATTCTCTTAAGATTTCATTTCGCGCTGTTTTCCGGTGACAAAATAGCGCGGACCCTTTTCTCAAGAAAATTTTTGAACTGTGGTCTAGCGTGATGCAATCTAGCCAAAAATAAATCGCTGCAAATGCAAAACATTCGCAACATGTTGATTAATCCGAACTGTCAAATGAGAGAAAGTGAAAATTCACATCAATTTCATTTTCTGCAAATCTGGCAACACCAACTAAATTCAAGGTCCCGTTCGAAGATGGATGTGTGATGCCACGCACGTGAATTTAGTATCGGCTAGACAAGGAAAAAGAGAAAATTTTGAAAGTCAGAACTGGAAATTTACAAATTGAGAGGAAAAAAAGTAGTCTTAGAAAAAGAAGGGTTACTGTAAATTTACGGGGTGCAAGGTTTTTTCTAAACAACCGGTGTCAAGTATGGTAAGTGAAGATTTGAGGAATGAAGTGCAAAATTTGTTTCTACAATTTTCTTCTTTTCAAAAATGAATAGCGGTATAATCAATGATACAAAGCACATGTTGTAAGATGTATGTACTCCAAACAATGAGAAACTTCTCCATAAAATTGTTTTCACCCGTCCTCCGCAATTTTTTTCTTGTCCGAAAGACCATTCACTTCTATGGATGACTCATGTACCTGAAACTTGTGACCAATGCAGAAAAACTTTACGACAATGCATCGCGCACAAATTGCTCTTATTCCACGGACAGTTCTCGTAAATCTCCGAATCTAGTATGTCTGGTTACCACAAACCATATACCATACAACCACGGTCAATTCACAGACAAGGGAAGGATGTTCGGTGACCGTGGCCTTTTGCAATGAGAGGTATACCAGTACGCCTTAAAACGCTGATTCCAAATCTATGTTCGTTATCTGCTTTGCGATTCTATGAACGAAGTTATAGACTGTTTCTTATATTGACTTCATGAAATCTAGGCAGTTAAAATCGTCAGTATCCAAGCCCTTCAAACTCTGATAAATCGGAGACAGTTTTCGTGAGCTTGGTGTAAAGCTTTAATTCATTTAAACACTTTTTTGTAGTGCGTAACTGAACATTCTAACGATATTCGTAAATCTTCTCATCAAAACACAGCAAATTTTGGTGGCAAGAAATGTTCTACCTTCCTTCCGAAGAGTGCAAAGCTGATATAGAGGCCAGATCTGGAATCATTGCATCAAAATGCATCCAATGATGAACGGTTGATTTCAAAAGGCCACGGGACCGGTATCCATCCTTTGTGAATAGGATTGGTTGCTGATGTATGCCATTGTACATTGTACAATATGGGACTGTTGGAGCTCCAGTATTATCGTCGAGTCATTCGTAGCTTAATATGTGAGCCTGCACACAAAGCGTTTCAACGGACGGCACCCTTAGCATTGACTTCTCGATCAAATCTTTTCTAGCGTAACAAAGTGTAGAAGTGTATACTACTAACTAATTAATATCCTTTCAAATTAAAATAGGCAAAGAAACAAGGCGAAGTCGCTGAAATAAGCAGGTTCCAATCTTCTAAGTTCGTCAAATAGCGCGTATGGTGTGCAATACGCATATTAAGTTACAAATGACTCGAGTATATGTTTTTCTAAGTCTTGGCTGGCTAGGCAAAAACATTTTGTAAAAAGGGAATTACATGCTATTTTACATGAAAGACCTCCATCCCACTTATAGTTTTCTGCAATCTCAGACATTAACAAGGAAGCTTGCTCAGCTATACCATGCGCGTTATTGCAAAAACGTTATTTCCAGAGCATAATATCCCAGAAACTTGAAATGTGCAGAAAGAGCGTGCGTAGTTCCATGATTTAACAATGATACTTTGGAAACCTCGCATTAATTCATTGCTTTTTATAGACTTCCTGGCTCTCTTGTTTTGTCTCTTCCCAGTTGCTATAGAACAACAAAATGATATCATTCCCATTTGATTTTGCAGCGGCTTAACGAAAGTATGAGACCATTTGGAATTTGGAAAAAAAAATATTGCTTAGCATCAAATGGGAGCAAAAAATTGGTTTTTCATCCAGTTAGAATTCTGCATAGATCAAAGAAAG